TGACGTTGTCCTGTCTTTTCTTTTTTTTCTTTTTTTTTCTTTTTTTTTTCTTCTTGTGAAGCAGAGTGCGTAGAAGTCGTGGGACATCTGAACCGGACAGGCTTAACTGAACCAACTAGGAAATTCAGCATTGACTTGTTTCCATTCATTTCGGTGGGTTTTAGGTCAGGCTCCAAAATTATCTGACGTGCCAGAATGACAACGGTTCTTGGCTTGTTGCCTAGAGGAAGCGCTTTTTTTTGGAAGTACTGGTTAACTGTCTTCAAGAGAGAAAATCCTTCAGCCTCCTCCCCAGAAACTACTGCCTTCATATTCTTGAAACATTTCATTTTACGGTTCTAATCTCTCATGGAACCTACAGTAAATCAAACAGCTGTTTGGGGGGGTTTATGTCTTCCCTACCCTCAGAGCTCGACCCAATAAGTCAGTGAGCACAGAGCTCCTTCCTTTCAAGTTGATGGCAAGTAGATTAAGAGAAGGTCGCATTATGTAGATTTTCATTAACTTTTGGGATTAAAATAAACAACTCGGGTAAACCTTTAATAAGCAGGGCAAAGAATCCCGAGATAAAAGCCACCTGGTGGTCAAGCTGTTCTATCCTTTCAAAAAATCTTTGTGAGCTTACAAGCTTTGAAAGAGTTTAAATTAAAGCCAGGGAAGAAAGAAGCCTCTATCTTGAAACTGCTGCAGTAAGATCTTTTAGCCATCTGATTTATGTTAAAATAGAGTTTCCAGGAGTGTCCAATTTGGTTCAAAGACCAAAGATCTGAAAGTGCAAATCTTGGAGTTTTCTCAATGTGTGTCTAACCTTTTCTTGCAGGAGTGAAATAAAATTTGACTCCTTTATTCAATGATGCTATTTACAGTAACTAATTGCATATGCTGGAAAAATGTGTTGATACAGGGATTTTGTTTTGTTCTTACAACAACGTTCAGTTCTATAGGAACTTTTTGCGATCTTGGCACACACACAAGCAGAATGTATGGACTGTTCACAACAAGATCTGTAAATGGTCTCCGATTCCTACTTTTGTTTAAACTGGCATCAGCAAAAGTACATTATAGTCTGCTTTACAAGCTAAATGATATTTATTGCTTTTAAAAATATGGCCTTGCTATGTAAAAATATAATAAACTATCTTAGCTCATATTATGTACAGAAGCTTGAATAGTCTTTGCCACTGACACAGAATGTCAGAAATTAGAAACAGATGGTAATTACTAGGAACGAAGATGAGGTTTCAGAAGAGAATGGATGCAGTGCATTCCAGAGCACACAGAGTATTTTTTCCACAAAGATTAATGACCATTATAGAGGCATTGTGTTTAGTGAACCTACATATCACTGACTGGCTTACCTAGAAAGTGAAGCAATCAGTTTTTACAGTCTGGCATAATTTAGAAGTTTAGGAGAGGGTCAATGTGACTGAGAGGAACTGAGAGGTTTATAGTAAATACTTTCTTTCCACATTTTATTTTGCAATGTAGTGGCTCTTGCCATTATCCACTTCCTTGTTTTCTTTTGTGTCTATTAATCATTCAGGTATAAGACCTACTTTTTGCCTATTGTGCTCGACACAAACAAAATAATATATTATTTTATCACATTATCGGAAACCATAAATTACGCACTTGCAAATAAGACTTCTGTTAATCATAAGGAAGAATTGGCAGCTGTGTGGTTCCAACTGTTCGGCAAATGACCAACAATTAAATATTGTATTTGATATTTTGATTTAAAAAACGCAATTTCTTTAAAAACATATAATAGTATCTATTTATGTGTATAGTTTTATAGACGGGTACAATTGCAGGATATAGGGGAAAAAAAAGACTATTATACTAAAGAAAGTAGCAATGTAGTTTAATAACCAATTTCAGAAAACCCGCTTCCAATTGAACTGTTATTGCTCTATTCAACTCATACGATAAGAGGGGATAATTTACCAGTAAAATGTTCTATGAAGCAATTGGATCAGTCTTTTATAACAGTATCTCATAGCAAGTGGATGTGCTAAGAACTGAGATACTCAAACCATTTGAAGCAAGCAATTTCAGCTTCAAATTTTAAATTTTTCAAACCTTTTATAATTAGGTAAAGGATGTTCTCTAGCGTCTAAATTTAAAATAACAAATTTCATAGATGGTATTGTTCTAAAGCACTTTGAGCTTGAAGTCTGCGGTTGGAAATGGAAAGAACAACAGGCGGTGTTAGTCACATCTCTACACTAATTCAATGACCTGGCAATATTGGCTAAAATGGTCCATCAAATAGTTTGCTCTGAGGCACTCAACTGTAATTCACTGTCTTGTGTGGCAGATCTCCAGATGCCAATTATTTAAGATGTGCCACTGTAAACCATTTGTTTTACTTCTGTGGAACCACACAGTAAAAAGAGGAAGGCTACATGAATAAATAGTTCTTTCTCTGGAGACAGATCTATTGCCATCATTCCTGGCACCAGCCACGCTGATAACCACAACCGGTAAACATCTGAAAAACCATGTCAACTTCTGCTCCATCAATAACAAATTAAAAAGCTTTCAAGGTAGGAAAAGACACCGGTGCCAACAGGAAACCAGGTATCCTAGTCATACTTGTGAGAAGACACAGGGACCTCTAGAGACAAAAATAAGCAAACCAAAAAAAAACCCAAACCAAAAATACTGAACCAGTCTATTGATAACTATATTTCTTGAAAAATCTCCTTTTGGGTTGAAAATCAGTTGGTACAGGCTACTCTTTATTCTCATCTATTCCTGCTCGAGCAGTATTTAAAATCAAGGTAGTGTATAATGAAACTTCCTTTGATAACCCAATCCTCTAGTTTAGGAGCTTAAAGATAAGCCCGTTGTTAAAGGTTATTTTGCTGGAGTAGAGTCAGAGGGCTCAGCACCCCGTTGCCAGTATCCCTCAGGAGTCACAGATCCGCTTCCTTCCACACCAGCAGAGATTGCCATCCAAACGAAAGCTGTGCAGTTTTGGCCTGTTGAGCTGTTGGCCATTGCTTTCTCTTGGCTCCCTGTCATCAAAATCCCCTCTGTCCTGTCGCAGAGAGACCGAGAGAGTTTCTCAGTGTGCAGAGGTGGGGAGGACAGCCAATGCATTTACGTTAAGTGAAGGAGAACATACTCTGGACATTCTGCACTCACTGTATTACTAAGAGCTGAAAGACTGTATTTTCAACAACAAAACACGAAATCAAGTGATTTTCTTTGAGATTAGACATTGTTATGTGTTGAGATTACACAGCCTAATGAGGAATGCTTTAAGGAGCCACCTACCAAATTTAATTCTGTAGATAAGACTTTCTGCCAGGGTAGGTGGTTGGTTTACTTCTGCTTCTTTCCAACACTTTAAAACCCAACATTTCTTTAAAATAGAACTTCATTCAGGAATAACGCTAATGGTCATTCAGAGATAAAACAGGAAAAAAGAAATGCCCTTCAAGAATAAGTGTGCTTATGTACATACTAATACCTATAGCTGTGTGTATGTGAAATATGAGGGGTGGGTGGCTGGGTGGATATATATGTGCGTGCCTGCATGTGTGTGTGTGTATACAGACACATACTAACACATTGTTTAGAAATAGAAAAAATTACAGCGTAAGGAAAAACGTTAGTTCTCACCTCTATTTCCTTCCAAATAAGATATAAAATATCTCCTGAATTTGCATAATTTTATATTTACATCTTTAATTAGTCACCAAAGTATAACTTTGAATTGCTGTTTAAAGTCACTCGGACATATTTCTATTTTGCAGCTATCTTTGACAGTACAGTTTGTGGAGGATCAGTAGATTATGCCTGAATCTGCTAAGTAGGGGCAAAAATTGACTTAAAACTCTGTTGTAGGAATTGTTTGCAAGTATGTTTCATTATATATTTACAGTATACTTACTTATTTGCTGATTAATGTAAAAATAACTTGCAGGATTAGCCGCAAATCTGAACAAGTATATGAACATATTCAGGATCACGGATTGCATATTCATAAATACCAAAGGTTATATTATGCTTCCCATTTTATTATGTGGCCCCCGCTGCATTTTTCATTCAAATCCATCATACGTTCAATAACAGTTCTTCATCAAATGAAGATTCTTTTGTTCATTTAAATATTAGATATTCTCTGCAGAAAGTGCCATCTTGTGGTGCTTTCAAGCAGAAATAAACTTCTACAGAACTTCTCACAAGTTTTACAGTGTTCAGCAAAAGCAGTCTCAAATGTACAGAATTCAATCACTTCAGTTTATACAGATGCTTTACATACATACATACTTTAGACATTTCTCAGCCAAAAAGTGGGGTTTTTTAAATAAAATAAAGACTTTTCTTTGGTTTTCTTCGGAGATTTCAGATGTCTGCAAGACTTTAGTTCCCTTGCTTATATTGCTTTCTTAGTTTACTGAGAGGTCATCTAGCTTGACAGGGAAATTTCTACTACTGCACTTTCACAGGAACAAAAAAGAAATGCCTCTTGGCCTCTGTAAAGACATCTCACATCATTTAGCTATGTTCCGAAAAATTCGTTCCTGGAAGACTTTCTCCAAAGCGCATATACACTCTTGATATTTTGAAAAACTTTTGAAGACAGTCTGTAATAAAGAAGATAATAAATAATCCTATTCTATCCTGAATATTGAAATGGAAGAGCAGGGTTCTTTGTTCACATTGATAGGATCTTACTCCAATGTGTCTAAGAGCAGAGTGTCCATAATTACTCTCTATTTTACTTGAGCTGAAACTATGTTGTTGCATCCAAAGACAGCCCAGGGTTAGGGGGTTCAGGAATTCATAGCTGGATCTAGATCTTCCACTTAGCCATTTCCAAAACCCCAAGTCTGAATTCCTTAATACTTTAAGGGGATTCCAAGCTTGAGCCAAGTTTCTTGGTCAAATTTGTGCACGCAGGTAAAGGCCAGGACTGAATGTAAAAGCTGTCTACTGTTAAAACACTCTGACAGGGCACTATCTTACCCAGCAAAACATCTTACCGCAGTAAGTAGCGGAGACCTCTGCCGGAGAGGCTTGCTGTCATCCCCAGGCCTCCTTTTTCACTTTCCTGCCTAGCTTCCAGACTGCTGCTTCTCCTCTGCTCCTGGGAGTTAAGCCTTCTCCTGCTCCCTGCCAAAACTCTGTGAGAAACAGCAAGCAGACAAAAAAGGAAAGCAGGGGAAGCCAATATATCTGTAATTAAAAGTTGAAAGAAAAAAAAAATCAAGCTATTCTCGTATGTTTTTTGACCTGAGTGTGTTGCTGGTGGTGCTGAGGCTACCACAGCCTCCTTCTAGCAGCAATTTTGTTTCAGTGTACCCAAAGGATTCCACGGTTGTACGATGACGCTGATACAAGAGCTGTTCTCTTTAGTGTGTAAATAGGCCTGGCAGAATATTCAGGCTTGGACCGTTTTGCCTGGGGATGTACAGGAGCCAGACTGATGTAACAGCTCAACGAAGTGGGCTGGTAGCCAGCTTGGCACAGGAGGTGCTGCTTCACTAGAGATGCTGGGGCACGCTCGAATGGAAAAATGGTCTGAGGGGCACCTGTCACGCTCTGCTTTGATATGTGCTGTGATAACATTTGCAGCCCTCACAGGGAAGAATTATCTGGGTGAAGAAAAACAGATCTTGGGTAATGCAGGTGCAGTGCATTTCTGCCTTGGAAAAGAGACAGTTTGCTCTTGGCTGCCAGAATGATTCTTTTTTGGATATTTCAATAGTTTTGGGTTTCAGAGTACTGAAGTAATCTAGTTCATGTGATGTGATTTACACAATTGGATTGCCAACACATATGGGCATAAGCCAGCCTGAAAAGGAAGAGATGGAAGATGTCACACCTAATTAAAATGTGTTTTCAAGTGCATTTACAACTTTCATTTTACACTGGAAGGTTATGATACTATCAACTCTCCTGCTGAGTTGGTCAACTTTGACACTTTCGATACTTTTGTAACAAATTAACATTTTTACAGAAATGCTAATCTGTGGTGTATTTTCTACTTTCACAGCTCTGGTTTCAGAGGAGAGCTAAATGATCTTGTTCATGCCCTGATCTTCCAGATTCTCTCTAAAAGGTTTGTCAGTACCTGTTATAGCAAGATATGACTCTGGAGAATCTCAGGTGCTCCCACTGATCCTGTAAACAGGTATGTTTCTGACCCCTGTTTGTCCGTGAACTGGCTATGTTATCCCACAGATTCTGCCTGGAAGTAAGAACAAGCAACAGGCTGGTTTTCACTCATTACTTTTCCGTAACCGTGGTATGCAGATGACTGTCAGCAGCGGGCAGCGTTCCCCTCAAGAGAAAAGCAGAATAAAAAAACAAGGTATGAAGCTGCTGTCAAAGGAAGAAATGCTCCTGCAAAAGTTTGAGGGAGACGAGAGCCCTCTGTAGCTCTGCAAATGCAGGGGAACTCGTAGTGGGGGAGAGGGCTTGCCTAGAGCACGACCTAAACCCTCAGCAGAAGCAGATAAGGAAAGAATGGGTCCTTGTGAGGGCTGAGCGAAATTTAAGGCTACATTCTGACTAGTGAAGAGTGGCATGGTAAGGGAGACTGCCACAGCCGGGTTACCACCACAATCAATAAACCCTTCTCATTCCACTCCCCACATGGTTTTGCCCCACACAAGAGATGCTGACCAGGATCAGTCCCTGTCCCATGCTGTCAGTATTCCCCAGCTCCACTGAGGGCAAAGGGTATTGCAGATTCTTGCCCTATCTCAAACTAGAGATTTATTTTGAAGTACTTACAAAAAACCCAAACTACTCTCCTGTTCCACCCCTTCTCTTATACAGTGTATTGTCATATATTCATCTAACTTAGCTATTGGGCTCCTGTGGCATTTATATTCCAGAGAACGACAGGGGATTCAGGCTGCCTCCAGGATATCAGATCCGGGTCCTTACCTGTGGAGAGGAGTAGTCTCACAGATAAGTTAAAACTCATCACAGACAGCCTGGGCAGGGCTCTGAGACCTCAGCTCAGCAAGAACTGTAGCCACATGCTTATCTTTATGCATGTGAGTATCAAGACAAGGATCAACACATAGGTGTTAGAAATAAAGCCAGAACTTAAACATTTTGTCAGATCATTTCCTAAGTTCTCCTTACTGCAAAAACAGTCTAATAAAAAGTCCTTTAATCTCAAAGGGGCCAAACAGTAAAACAGAAGGGGAAAAAAGTATCTGTTAATTTAGAACTGGCCTTGTTTCATAACTCAGAAGCGGTAGGCAGGCTTAGCAAGGCATAGCCTCAATGATTGTTTTATTTACAGTTTGACCCATGGGATTATGGGGACAGCTTTAACAAGCTGGTAACTTTCCTAACCAATATGCACCAGAATTTCAGCACATCCCAGATGGCCAAATTAAAAGAACCACAGTCATGAAATCAGCCCTTTCATTAATTTGTTGAAATAAGCAGTAAAGCCAAATACACTAAGCAAGCCAGTCTCCTAAGTGATATGCATGGAAGTTCATGCAGAACAAAAATTCATTCTCTCTGCCCTAGAATCACTCCATTAATACTGTTAGAGGTTCTTCTGGGAGATTCAAAATAAATGACTTTTTAGTCTGAAGCTGTGGGTGTCTATGTTAAAAGCCTTAACTTCATTAGGAATTTCCTTTTATATCTATTCTAGAAGTCAAGTTAGCTTGGAAAAATATCTGTTATTGCCAGGTTTAAAGCCTCCAAAAATTATTAGGCTTTACATTGGACTCTTCTGGATTCAAATATCATATATTATATGATATATATAATGGATAACTTTCCCCTTTATTATTCTATGCTTCTAAGTTATTTGTTAAACACTGATCATATTCTAGAGGTGGTGTATGGCAAAAAAGAAGACTGAGGACAGTCCTGCAGTCAGACTCATTATTCTTTTATTTGTAAGGTAAAATGCATGTTGTCTGCATCTATACTGCTGGTCCTAAGAACATTCCTGGTATCAAAAAAGAAAAAAATCTAGAATCTAACCTAAACACTGTCTGTGAGACCTGATCACCAACTCTAGTAGAAAAACAAACCATGGTGTGCTCGTTGTTTGGAAGTGAGGCCGGTGCTCGCAACTCCAAATCACGTTTTTGGGCATATTTATTTATTTCACTTTATTAAGCTCTTCTTTTTTGGTTAACAAATTCCTGGTTCTTCTAGCATAACTTATTAACATGTCAGACATATTTGGCCTTCATTTATTTAATCAGAACATCAGCAGCTGATACAATTTGGGTTACTGGGTTTCTCCCATAATTTAGCAGTGGTAAGCAGAAATTCATGTCTAACTGTGTTGTCTCTCCCAGTCAAGATTTTATCCTTTTGATTCCCTTTTCCAACACTAAGTCTAAGTGCACCTAATTTCTTGCAAGTAAGTACCTACACACGTATTTTAAAATCATTATCAATTTATATTACCTATTTGATTTGGTGAAATTCTAGTTCATCTCATACAGCAGCTGTTCACAATTTCCAAAATTATTAGTAAACCTCTGGATGGCCTATATGTCACGTTCCACCTGCCTTTGAGTGACACTGTTCATTCTTTTGTGTTGTATTAAGAAGTTACCCTACAAGTGTATGTAAAAGTAATATATCATAGCACATAAGAAGACTAGCAACTGCATTTTAAACTTTGATTCAACTTCAAACTGCAAAATAAAGTGGAAAGACTTGAAGCATGAGAGGACTAGTTAGATTTAGTATTCCTTATGCAAAAGGCACTTTAGCCTTTGAGTGTTTATGGGTATGTGGCAGTCAGAAGGATTGTCACCTGTACACAAAGAAATACATAGAGAATATATAGAGAAAGCAAGTTGCTAAAATGTTATTATCTTGACCCTGCTCATTCATTTCATTCTTCTGTGGAAGTGTTCCCTCGAGGAGCAGGGAAATAGCCAGGTATGCTCACACACATAAACATGATATTGAAACAGCAGCAAGAGCCCGGCCTCCCCAGAGCATCCTTTGAAGTTCAGAGTTAATGCCATCACTGGCAGGCATGTCAAAGCATTTCAGGGACCTCTTAACAGACAGCATTCTTCTTCTTCATGACTTTTCTTACTGATACTCCTGCAGTATGCAGTCTACCACATAAATGTGCAAGACTGATGTCCTTTTAATTCTGAATATTTTGCCCTTTCTCAGCTACAGAAGGCTCTTGTTATTATCATCTGAATGTTTTTTAATAAGCTTCCCTTATCTTCTGCCACAGCAAGAGTATTCAGTAACTGCATTATGCCCACTTCCAATAAAGTGACGTAGTGCATGAGGCCTAATGGACAGAAATATATAATGATGTGAGGTTAAAGATGATACTGAAACATGCTAGTAAAAAGAGGATTTTGAAATGTGTGCTAGTAATTATGATCAGAAGGAAATTCCAAGTATGGGTAACTCTTACGTTATTTGAAATGCTTTGAAAATAATACGTTCCCTGCCACCTCTCTGTAGCCTGCCCGGATTTTGCTTTCGTTTTTGTGCCTACAGAGTGGAGCAGCATCCATGCCTGAAGCTGTAAACACGAGATATCCAAGATACGGTTTGGCAGTCTGTGTATTAATATCTCATCTTGACTATATGTTGGTTCTTCACTGACCTGACAGTTAACCACATACTAAGCTGTAGTGGAAGTCCTAAAAATTTGTCATGACCATATTCATTAAAGAAAGAGTTGCATTATGTCCACGTCTAGAATTAAAATTTTTATGAGGTTTAATGTGTTTACTTTAATGTGTTTCTAGTTGGTAGCTACAGATTTTTCAGCATTTCTGTTTATCTTTCAATCTATGTGTTTCTAGCCGTAGATGTTTTCTTCAGGTATGAATGCATTTCTTTCTGCTACAAGCTGGAATCTTTTTAGATATACAATTAGGCAGATTTTTTGTAGATATCAGAAGAATCTGAAACTATACACTCAACATTTATGTAAAGAGAATACAGTTCTTAGCAGAAGTAAATGCACTCATGGGTACCAAAAGCAGCTTAAAGCTATCGGTAAAATATATTAACTTTTTTTTTACTCCAGACAAATTTTATTTTTAATATGTTTTTCAAAACTCATGTCTGAATGCCCCTATTAACTGACAACCAGCTTTAGCTGGTTCCTTTTAAGTGTTCTTCTGAAGATTCAATGTCAAGGATACTTTCTATCAAAAAGTTGTAGAAATTTGAAATGGAAAAGGTCATGTAGTTTATCCTCCTCCCAAAGTTAAACTGTTTCCTACACCAAATTTCTTAGTACTTTATTGACTTTCCTTTTAAAATATCACTTCCTCTGGTGACTGAATGCTGAAAATAATGTAAAAGTCTCTAATCACTGCCTTTGTGATGCATTTATGAAGTATTTTAACAGAAAATTACCTCTGTTACTTGAGAAAGTTTTAATTTTTCTTTTGATTAGTTCCACTCGTAGGGATATTAGGGCTGAGCATAGCATACGTTCTTATGGATGTGGCATGTGGAGGGTGGCAAGGATACATCCAGATCCTAAAATATGTTTTCTGCATGGTTTGCTGGGAGCAAGGAGAGAAGGTCTCAGCACATTCTCCCCTAGACACGAGGCTTGTGAATACAGTTCATGAAAGCCGCCTAAATGAAGAGATTCTGTCTTAGCAAGGCAACTGGCAAGAGGAAGATGAACACCTATCCCAACTTGAAAAAGTCTCCGAGGTGTACGATAAGAAGACTCAGAAGCATGAGATCTGAGGAAAAGGCAGTTTTCTTTTTGCAAGGAACTTCAGATTGGAGGAAGTTTGCCATGGAAGGCCAACATGGGACCATACTAGGTCGCAGGGCTTCTGAACCAGCTAAAAGAAGACATTCAGTATCTGTTCTGCTATTGGAACTCCAAGGAGGGGATCACCTAACCAGGTTACTCAACATAGCCTGTGGTCAAACACAAAATTAGCTGATTGTCAGTAAGCATGTAGACTGTTGTATTATAATATTATTTTGAATGTCTTGTCAATTTCTTAGTACACCTTTTTGTTTTAAGGAGGTTGCCAGTGGAATATCACTTCTCACAAACCCCTCAAAGATAGACACTCAGGTAACACAGCATAGTGCTAACTGGTTGCCACAAATGGGCAATTGTATCAAACTTTGCTCCGAGAGCGGAAAGTTGTGAAATTCCTACCCAGCGTGAGTAGGGGCAGAAGATCCAGCTTCTTAGAGAGACCTGGAAGGAGACAGAGGGGCAATCTGTAG